CAGCATAGCTTTCTTCTCCAGAGTCTGGTTCTTTGAAACTTTGTTTTGACTTTGTTATTGTTGTTGCTTCTTTTCTTCCAATTAATATTCAAGAGCCATTCTTTGTCATTAGTGCTACTGAGGATAATTATTTCATTCTACAAAATAGACCATTTTTAAAAAGGACTAGCAAAGTAGTCCTAATATAAGGAGAGTAGCATCTGCACACTTAGGGACATATCCCTTGTCAAGGGACTGGGGTGAAGGTAAGGTTAGAGATGTGTGAAGAGACACCATGGGGTGGAGAAGGACCACCGAGGTGGGCTTCAGTTGAAAGCATTCTGGCTCAACTTCCCTTTTTCATCTGCCATGGTTTTCTGGGCTGGCGCTGGTCTCAAAGCCAGCGAGCTCAGAATGGCAGGCGACCGATTCCAAGGTCCAAAGGAGGGAATAGTAAAGCCATTGATATTCTCCTCACAGCAGCAGGAACCACAGTCAGGTGCTAACGGAATTGGTTGTTTATGAAGAAATAATCAAATATTCTTCCCTTCTCCCCTGCTCATTTCTGCAGCCTCACACAAGCTCCCAGCCCTCCTTCCTCTGGGGAAATGAGTGCTACTTGGGAAAGATAATGATGTGAACTCTTCTCTCCTGCCACCCAAAGTCACTTCAGTTCCAAAGACTTCCTTATTCACCAGAAAGTCATGTCCGGGAACGGGCATGGACAGTCGAGCCTTGAGACAGGTAGTCTTATATATCTTTTTTGAGATAATTAAACCCACTGAAAGCTCTATCCAGCCTTTGTAAGCCCTTGGCTCTTGGAAATTTGAAACAGACCATGAGGTGAATTCACATGGTTGAAATGAATGAGGAGCGGAGAAAATGTCTGGGGTGGGCAGCGACAAGAGGAGTGTCCAGACACTCCTCTATTCAGGAGCACCCGGGCTGCTGAAGGACCTTCCCTGAGTGGAGGCCTTGGAGAAGGTAACCTACTTTAAAGGGTGAGCTGAGATGCACACATAATTGTGTGTATGCATGCAGACACACAAACACGGGGCAAACATCTAGCCTGTTGGCATACACATTGGGTTTCGCCTAAACCCCTAGACTTGACCTTCTCTGGGGAAAAAAAAAAATTGCTTTTTACTGTCTCAAACCTCCACAAAATCTCCACAATGAGGGCAAAGGATAAAGGACTCAGACGTTGTTTAACAGAGGCAACAGCATGGCTTTGACAGAGAACAGTTGAGGGTAAAATCCTGTGGAGACTCATATGCTTGAACATGAGGAGGATGGGATAGCTGGATGAGCCACAGGAAGTCCTGAGTGGGCCATAGACATTGCCAAAAAAAAGTGCCATCCCATGAGTGAAGGTTCTGGAAGTTTTCCAAGTCTGCCAACTATCCCAGCTGGGCTTTCCGGGTCTGACAGACTCCTGGCCAGGCTGGGAGAACTCTGACTTAGAAGCAAATTCCTGTTTCTTCCTGGTGACCGTGCTTTACTTTCCAGTAAGTCCCCTGTGGTACAATTGTTCTTTTATCTGCACAGGAAGGGGATTTGTGATTCCTTCTGAAGACTGAGGAGTGCCAGGCCCTCTCTCCTGGACGCTGGCTCGCATGGAGTCTGAGCATACTCAGGCCTGGAAGGAAGCCCAGTCCTGTGGAGCCCGTCCTGCCACAGCGGCTCTCACCATCAGGCTGGATGGAGATTTTAATTCTTTAAGATGCAAGAGCCTCGTACTGATCACCAAGCAGAATCTGCCCTATGTTCCTATGAAACTGGGGCCCTCAAAGGGTGACCCACTGGCCAAACCCAGGCCCTCGCCTGTGTTTACGTCTGAGTCTCTTCAGGAGTGTGTCCAGGCTCATTCACTTTAGTTTCCTGTGCCCTGATTTCACTCAATGGCAGAGATGAGTAGCTGCATCAGAACATCTGGGCCTGCAAAGCCTACATTGTTAATTTCATGGGCCTTCACGGGAAACGCATGCTGACCTCCAGTTCAACAGGAAGGCCATTCAGGAAAGGCAGTGTGGTGTCCTGAAGGACCCTGAGAAGGGGCTCAAGGGCCTGAATTCTGGCTCTGCCTCCATCAGAAACCAGCTTGCCAATGACCAAATGTCTCTTTCAGTGGCATATGATGCAAAAAATTCTGTGATTTCAGTTTCCAATGCCAAATTGATTGTCCAATAATTTTCATTTTTAAAAGTTCCTTTTCCTACTGTGACTCAAAGGTTGTGATATTTAAAATAATCACACTGGAATCAATACCTTGTACTTGTAAAACATAAACAAGTGTGGAGGGATATATGGTTCCTTGGTTAAGAGCACTATCTGCTCTTTCAGAAAACACAAGCATCCATCCATGTAGGGTAGCCTACAACCATCTTTAACTACAGCTTCAGGAGATCTGATACTTCTTCTGACCTTTACAGGAACATGCACACATGTGACATATAGACACACATATATACACAAAAATATTTTTTAAGAAGGAAAGCTATGTACACACACATAGGTCTAGAGACACTCATACACACACCCACACAGACATACACCAAAGTACTCAGAGCCTACTGATGCACCCATGCTTCATGCATTGCCCTTCTACAGAAGAGACATGTGTCTTCTGGGGCCTCACCATCTGTGGAGCTGTGATCAAAACATTACTATTCAGTTACCATCTAAGCACAGCTGTAGAATTATGGAGACGCATTTTTTACAAAACCAAGCAATTGTCTGAATCTATCTCCCAACTGAAGAGAGGGGAAAATCTAATTCACAGAACAATTCATACTTTATAGTGCTTTTATACACAACACACTGGGTGCTGTCCTGTTTACTTGGGTTTCAGACCATCTTTATTTAGTGTCTACTTTATAAGACTTGCAAATAGTTTCCAAACATCTCTAAATTTAAGGGGGAAAATGCAACTGAGTGGAGCTGATTTAAATTAGCTTAGTCTGGGTTCTTCCCAGAAGCAGAGCCTGAAACAAGATGATTTATTTTGGGAACGGGTTTGAAGAAAGAAGTAGAGAACTAGAAAAATTCCAATGGGGAACAGGGGAGAGCCAATCACGGGATTCTTAACTGAGCTGGTCGCTGGATACGGACAACTGAGGCTCCTTCCTCCTAGGATACCTTGAGCTTCTTTATGGAAAGACTTCTGGCATATCTTCCTGAAGGATGCAGAATGGACATATTTATCCACTTACTCCCATTACTGCCCTATGTGGATCTAAGCTACTCACACTTCCAGTTTGGGCAGAGGTCAGATCAGTCGCAGCCTCAAAGAAACTCCACATCAGAAACCACGAAATCTGTGCTACACCTGAAGGAGGAAGCCCATGTGTAAGAACTGCACGCAGCAGTCGTAGTGAGGACCACAGTCAAACAGAAGGCTGGGAGAACATCAAGAAGGACACAAAAGTGACCCATCCCGTAGGTGACACTCAGTCCTTACTATGGCACCTTCCCCAAACACCATCACTTAGAGTGGTATGACTACAGCTGTCCTTTACTAACCAAGATGCCTCTGACACATGCTAATAAATTCCCTTTGTTTACTGGCTTAAGCAGAACACTTTAATGCATTCATATCAACACTTTTGATGAAAATGAGAACACGGCTTCTCTTCCATTGCAGAGAAAGCAATGAATGGAGGCTAGTGTAAGATACTTCTTCAAAAATTGTCCAGGGAGAGTTGAAAAGAAGTAAGAGTTATTGTTTCACTTTTTTTGTTTGTTTGGTTTTCTGAGACAGGGTTTCTCTGTGTAGTTTTGGTGCCTGTCCTGGATCTTGCTCTGTAGACCAGGCTGGCCTTGAACTCACAGAGATCCGCCTGGCTCTGCCTCCCAAGTGCTGGAATTAAAGGCGTGTGTCACCGCTGCCCAACTTGTTTCACTTTTTAAAAACGATAACATCATGGAGTTTAGATCATCTCAGAGGAATTTTAGAAGTAAACTCAAGTTCATTCATCTTTCTTTGTTGTTTGTGTTTTGTTTGGTGTTAAATGGTGTGTGTGCATGTGCGGGTGCATGCATGGGTGGGTGTGTGTGTGTGTGTCATATGCAATGCATGTGTATATGCAGGTGTGCTCGTCTGTGCCTGAGTTTGTAGAGGTCAGAGGTTGGCTTCAGGTATCTCCTTCTTCGCCCTCCACCTTAATTTTCTGTACAGGTCTCTTCCTGAACTTGGAGCTCTCTGTTTCAGGAAGATTAGCGTGGCCAGCAAGCCCCTGTGATGTACCTGTTTCTGTTTCCTCTGACACCCAGTTCTTGCATTGCAGGTGTACACCAACAAGCCTGGCTTCTGTGTAGGTGCTGGGGATCAGAACTCAGTACAGCAAGTACTGTCCCAACAGAGCCATCTCCCCAGCTCAAGTTTGCGTATGTTGATGATCCCAAGATGAAAGTAGGTCAAGTCTGTCAAACATTTCAATTCACAGAACGTACAACAGCCTGAATCTCTGTAAACATACCGAGAAAATATGGCTAACTTTAACACAAGGCTAAGCGAAAACCACAGCAAGGCTTCACCCACCAGAGACTTTTGTGCAAGCACCGGTCTGTTATTTATTTTTTTCGTATTCACCAGGCATTACAATGCTAGCTAGAAATAATTTAAACCATTGGCCACCGCCATGGCCCTTTGGTTCTGTGAGGCAGTGTGATAATTCAAGAAGATTAACCCCAGAACTCAGCCCAGAAATTTAGACTTTCCCCTCTCTGTTGAGAGGAAAATCAATCATCCTAGTATCCTGAGAACATGAGTAATGGGTGTGCAATAAGCAAAACTGGCTTCCTCAGCTTACATCTGGCAGAACAAATGAATTCAAAGATCCTTACAAAATGTAAGTCAGCAAACAAGAGACAGACATGCCAGTGGAGGGACAGGACAAGCATGTGACAACTATGTCATATGACGTAGTGACAGCAGACACAGAGACAAAGGGAGGCTTCAAGTACCAATCAATGAACTCACTAGACCTCCATCTCCATGTTTCCTGGAAAATGCCCTCCCTCCCACCTCCGAGAGCCACAAGACAGCTGTTGGTGATAATTAGCCAGGAAGGTGACCCACTTCTCAATAGTCCAACAGTAAGCACCCAAGAGTAGATGTGCCCTCGGGATGCTGATGTCAGTGCCGTTAGGTATGTACCCGGGAGTAAGACAGCTGGATCATGGGACGGCAGAGATCACTCAGCAGGTGAGTGATGCTCTGAGAGGACCTGGGTTCTGTTCCCAGCACCCACAGAGCACCTCATAACTGCCTGTAATTCCAGTTCCAGTAGGCTCTGGATCCTTCTTTTGGCTTTCAGGCACACCAGGCATGGGCATGGTGCATTTGCACACTTGCAGGCAGACACTCCTACCCTGACACAGTAATGGATAATTCTTTTAAAACAGAAAGACCGCTGGGCTATAGAGAGGTTCTATCTCTGGTTTTTGTTTTTCTGTTGTTGTTGGTGGGTTTTTTTGTTGTTGTTGTTTTGGTTTTTTTGTTTTGTTTTGTTTTGAGGAATGTCTATCTTGTTTTCCATACTGGCTGCACTGGTTTACAATTCTATCAGCAGTATCTGAAAGTTCCCTTTTTCCACATCCTGACCAGCATTCCAAACTTCTTCTGGGTAAAAGCCATTGCAGTGGGGATGAGGCGATTTCTCATTGTGCTTGTGTGTGTGTGTGTGTGTGTGTGTGTGTGTGTGTGTGTTTGTGTGTGTGTGTGTGTGTATGTGTTCCTTCCGTGACTGCTTTTTTAAATGCTTGGTGGTATGTTAGATATTGTCTTTTTTTTTTTTTTTTTTTTTTTTTTTTTTTTTTTTTTTTTTGGTTTTTCGAGACAGGGTTTCTCTGTGTAGCTTTGCGCCTTTCCTGGGAAGATATTGTCTTTTGAGAAATGATTATTCAGATCATTTGTGGGGATCTCTTTTTTATTATTATTTCTTAAAGGAATGTACTTGGATACATAAAACCCATATGGAACTATGACTATCAGTCAAAAATATTCTAAAATAAATTGTGTGCTGTACTAATGAACAGCTTTCCTTTTCAGTGTGTTAAATAGCAAGATCTGATTAGGGAGATGATAATTAACATCATTTTAATGTAGTGATGAACATGAATAATATCTTGAAATATCTGCAACATTGTAGAATGTTACAAAAATATTAATATTTATGCTGGTGACAAATTCAGCACATTGCTGACACTCCTGTAGTGGTTATTAACTAATAATCCATGCATATAGGGTCCAGGGATGCACACCAAGTTTACACGAGGCCTTGAGTTCAAAACACAACACCACAAAATAGTTAATTAAATAACTGACACATATAAAGCTGAAGACGTACTTTATAGATTGCCAGGTAAGCCTGCCAGCCATGCTTCTAAAGGTGTGGTCTGTGTGTTCTGTGGGGGTGGGGTGTCAATATCAGAGAATTCTTTGGATCTCCTACAATAGGAGTTGTCCTTTTTAAATTATTACATTGAGAGCATGTGTAACTAAATGCTACAATGACTATAGAGGTACTTAGAAATATTTTATTTTCATTAATATAACATTGTCACCTACATTTGGCCTAAAACAGTGTCCCAATGCATATGTGTAAGATCTTACCATTTTTCTATCCATGGACAACCTACTAAGCACAAAAGATTTTGGAAAGCGGTTTTACTTTTTTAAATAACTAACTCTCTCTCTTGAAAAAGGATGTTTAGTGCAGAGTTTAAGTACAAACTGTAATTCATCTGCGTGACCCTGAATAACTCGATTTCCTCTTTTTGTAAAATGTACTTTAAAATAATATTGACTACGTTAGATTTCTGTAGAAGTGAAATGAGCCCAAAAAGTGGTTTTTCTCTTCTCAACTACAGATCACAGCTGCTTAGAAGAGTTCAAAATCACCTAGCATCTCATGACCAGCCTTTGAAAAACGAAAGAGGACAGAGTAGGAACCGTATATGGCAAAGGGCATTGTTTCCTTAGTGAAACTTTTTTGGTTTGCTTTTTGTTTTGATTTGTTTGGGTTTGGCTTTTCAAGACAGGGCTTCTTTGTGTAGCCCTGACTGTCCGGGAACTCGCTCTGTAGACCAGGCTGGTCTCAAACTCACAGAGGTCTGCCTTCCTCTGCCTCCCGAGTGTTAGGATTAAAGGCATGCGCCACCACCGCCCACCCAGCCAGACACTTGTATTCCAAATACGTGTGCGTAACTTAATTCTGTTTTCCAAAATAATTTTGTATTGTGAGTCACTGAGAAACTCTTTTACATTCAGACCACAGGCTGGCCATGTCCCCAGCATTTGAGGAGCAGCAAGAATGTTGGTACAGTTGTGGGGACGTCCCTAGGGGCTCAGCAGAGGCTGGAGACATGTTGTAGTAGCCCAGGGTGACATGATCCTCTGTTCTGAGTGAGACGCAGTCGTTCATTTTCTCTGTTATGCAGTATTAAGCACCGCCCTCCTCCATTGCCCCTTACAGACACTGCTCATTGATGGTCACAATGGGTCAGTCTCTAAGTCACCTCAGCATGGACGTGTGCAAAAGTCATTGCCATCAAAATTGAAGGTAGGAGGGCTAGTCTTTACTAAAAGATATAAAACCGTTAGCACTCAAACATGTTACTTGACTTCTTGGGATGTTCAGAGAGATTGGAATGTAGACTGCTAGATGATATTGTGGAATTATTCTAAATTTGCTCAGGAGTGACAGCAGTATGGGGCTGTGTGGGGGAACGATGTTATTTTGTGAATCCAGGTGCTGAAATATTGTAGGATGGATCGTTATGAGGTTGCATACCCACTCAAATGGGCATGTAGATAGAAAAGGTACAAATGTCAAAATATGAATAAATACTGTGTCTAGGTGGTTGGTTTATATAGTTGTTATACTAGTCTATCAACCTCCAGTCTCTTTAGCTATTTTGGGCGTGTGTTATCACATTCATGCCGTGACATGTGTGTGGAGAACCCAAGGAAATCTGAGGCAATCGATTCTTTCTTTCTGCCACCTAGGCTCAAACTCAGGTCCTTGGACTTGGCAGCAGCAAGCCCCTTTACCAGCTGAGGCACCTCACTAGCTCAACTTGAGAATAATCTGTTATTAAAAAGCTGGGGAACTCCATCTAGGCTATCATCTGGGTTTTGTTTTGTTTTGATGTTTGCTTTTGGTTGCAGTTTTTTTGGGGTTTTTTTGTTTGTTTGTTTTTTGTTTTGTTTTGTTTTGTTTTGTTTTGTTTTTTTCCTGTAGATACTGTGCTGGTCGACAGGTTAGGCCATTGAATGATTCCCAATCAGAAATGCTCATCTCGGAAGATTCAGGAGCCTCTGAGTTCAGGGATTCAGGTGGGGGTGGATAGGTGGCATTTGGGGGGGGGGGGGGGGGGGGGCAGCGGGCCTTTAAAGAAGGAGGGAGTAAGCCAGAGGACCACAGAAGTGCTTCAAAACTTCAAAAGACATTGCCAGGGCAAGTGAAAGGCAAAGAAAACAAACAGTCTTGGAGACGTTAACTCCTCCCCTCTGTGTGTGCTTTTCCGGTGCGTGGAGGGTCTGAATTAGTCCACTGTTTACCTGCCACGTGATTTGACAAAAGGGTAATGTGATTCAGAAACTCCACGTTCACAGAAAGCCTATGTTCAGCCCATCAGTTACCAGGCAGTGACAAGACATTGGGCTGTGGTGTATCAAATCCCAAATTTAATCCAGGAGCAGATGTGCCTGTGAAGATGAGGAAAAACCCAGTGCCCTGTGCCCGGGTCCCATCAATTCCACACCACATTTTCCTAGTGTAGTAGTGGAGACAGGAATCAAGAAAAAGAAAGTTGGACTTAGCACCTTCCGGTCTCCTGATGAGAATCCAGCTTCTGGGTAAGATGTGCACAGTTGTAGACATGCAGATCCTCTCCCAAGCAAATAAGAGAGAAATGTAAAAAATATGGCCGGGCGGTGGTGGCGCACGCCTTTAATCCCAGCACTCGGGAGGCAGAGCCTGGCGGATCTCTGTGAGTTCGAGGCCAGCCTGGACTACAGAGTGAGTTCCAGGAAAGGCGCAACACTACACAGAGAAACCCTGTCTCGAAAAACCAAAAAAAAAAAAAAAAAAAAACCTGGGTGGGGGGCGGCGGGAGGGAATGTTTTTGATCTCAGGGAACAGAAGAATGGAGGATGCAATAGATAAGGAATTCTCCAAAGGTCTGACTGTTTGCAGGCTTTGTAAAGGGGAGGGAGAGTCTTTTGTTTTGCAGCAGGACTATCAGGGAATGATAAGACTCATTGGAAACCACAGGAGGAAGTGAGTGATGATCTCTGGAGGTGTGTCTCCTTGGGGGACAGGAACAAAAGCAGTGACATGCACTAGCTTTCAGCACTGAGACAAAATACCGGCGGGCATCAGCTAAGGGAGGGAAGAGTTATTTTGCTTCATGTTTCTCTGCAGAGGTTTTAGTCTGCAGTCAGCTAGCTCCATCCTTCAGGGCCTGAGGAGAGACTTTCATGTCAGCAGGAGCATGTGGTAGAGGCTGCTCATTTCATAGCCCTCTCTCTTCACCCAGAACCACTTCACAGCATGGAGTAACAACACTTCCGCCTCACCTGGCACTCTGAGGTCCCTGCACTGATCTTCCCAGGTAGCAAACATGGCCACACCACTGCCTGCTCAGCACTCTTCCCTGGCTTCCCTTCCTCCACTGAGGCATGTGTGAGGCCTCCTGAGCTCAGCCCCCATGCTCCTGGTCCCCACCCTCTGCCGTCTTCACCTTCAGCTTGCCCAAACTATAGCATGGACTCTGGAATGCCCTGCTCTTCACATCTCTCACTCCTATCTCCCACAGACCTTTGCTCCCACCCCAGCACTTCCAGCTTGCCATCTTGGCAAACATCTACGATTCCTTCTTTCTTTGGAAAAAACCTTAATTCCCTTCTACCCACAGAGAGATTTGGTTTAAAAGGAAAATCAGGTTTTTTTTTAAAAAAATCAATATCATTTGGGTTCTTTTTTTGTTTTGGTTTTTGATTTTTTTGTTCTTTTTTTTTTGTTTGTTTTATTTTGTTTTGTCTTTGTCTTCAGCTAGCTTTTAACATGATTCTGGAAAACACTAAGGGGTTTGAATCTTTTCAATTTTGTATCCACAAAAAAATGTGGCAAATTACCATGTATTGAATGAATTGAGGTGATTTGATCTGAGGGACCATTTTGTCCTAAGCAGAGCTGT